CCATCAACCTGCTCGAGCTGCTTCGGAGAGCGATTCCGACAGCACCGACCTGATTCTCCCACCCCAAAAGAAGAAGAAAGTCAAACGGTGATTATTTGTTATAAGACCTGTTCTTTTTAGCTTGAACTTCTTGCACGATTCACTTTTCCTCTTTTCTTCTCTAACGTGAAGAGATAATATATTGGAGAATTGGAAAAATTGATAATTCACGTGACGTTATGTTAGGTGATACTTTATAATCGTGCTATTTTTTTTTTTAATTACAGGCGGCACAGATCACAGATTCTGTCTAGAAGCAGGCACAGCGATTCTTGTGGATGTAATAAGTCGGATATGCGGGTGATATCTTTGTGGTTAGCAGCAGTGTTAATCACATTTTGGCTGATTGCTTTATCTTGGCTTGCCGCTGTGTTGTATGGCGAGATTAAGAAAATGGATATGTCTATCAAGTCAGGTAAATGCTATTTTGGTTAAGAGATAATTATAATTTTGACCTAATTGGTAAGTAGAGATTAATTGAGTTTTTAATTAAAGTATGAAAGGTTCTAATTAAATCTAATTATATCTATTTATACACTTGCATATATATGTTATATTTCATCACTTTTTGTCGTCTTGGAAGCTTTATATTGTCTAAGTATTGTTAATTATTTGTATACTAAAATAAAATTTATATTTTTAATATTTTTAATATTTTTAATATTTCATATCAATGCAATTTTATAATTCATAGATATATTGAGAATATATTGAAAACAAAAGTTTTAATGACTTGACTAAATCGAAAATAGCTTAGTATTCATCAAAATCGTCTTATGTATTATGCGTTATATACCTCTACGTTTACATAAATCTGATTTAAGAACAAAAAAAATTAACTTGTGTATAGATTTATAGAATAAAATTTTCCATTAAATACACTTATCTGTAATCATCATATTCTCTTTCATTTTTGCTTTTTGAGTATTATGTATAACTATTTCTTATAAATATTTTCTTAATATAGAGATTTATTATTATACCTTATCAATTACATGTTTTCATAATTGTTTTCTATAATAATTCATATAATCATTGTTTTATCTTTACGCGAATTAGATTTTTGTTAACCTTCGGGTAGAATTTTTTTACTGCAGCACACTTACATAAATATAAATAATCAACTTCAATTTGTGGTCTTATCAAATTCGTGCTCGGCGTCGCTCGGTGTCGTTCGGCGTTGCCGTTCGAAATTCCCTATATACCATGTACGGCTCTTATCATGGAAACCCTCTCCCAGCGGGGCTTCAGTCGCCCACCAACCCTCGGCGAGTCGATATCGGACGACGGCGCAGCTGGCGAGAGTGTCGCGTCGCGACGCCGCGCGCTGCTTCACGATATCGCGGGATTTCGTCGAAGGCTCCGCGGATATTTTGTGTTCGTGGATCTTCGTTGTGGTCTCGCCTACCGATCCGCAAATCAATTTTTGAGGATCCTTGCCCGAGAGAGAAGTGAGATGACGCCGTCGCTCGTGCCGTCCGCCCGTTTCCGTCCGCCGCGCGGTAATCGATTAGAATCGCTTCTATAATTCATCCCCCTCGTAGGTCAAGTTCTGCATATTCTGTACGAGAGCTCACCACCCACTCTTCTTCCCATTCCTCTTCTTTCTTCTTCATCATCTCCTATTCATCTTGCTTGAATTCTGGGACATCGCGTCCTCGGATGCACGATTATTAAATATGAATCGAGAGTGTGAGAAAAATAGTTTCGTATAAATCGGGAAAAGAATCGAGAAATCGAAGGTATTTCAATAATACGAATAAAGTTAACTTGAAATATTAATTTTTTTTTAGATATAACGGAGGAAACGTAGATGAGGAATTACAAAAATAGACCGCATGTAAATACGTAGAGAATAAATTGAATAAATTGAATAAAGAATATTAATTTTCTAGGTGGAAAGAAGGAAATATAAAAAAACAGATAAGTGAACGTATGCAGATAAAATAAATATGCGGAAACGATAAATTAGATAATGCCGAGAGCAGGTGACGATAAAATTGATTTATACATCGTGATGAATCTACGAGGAGCGCATAATCGCTCTGGCATTTACATAGATTTGCATTTGAAATCTGCAAGGGACGATCTTCGAATTTACATTACTTATCCAATAGGATGGCATTAAATATCATTAGTGCGGAAGATCCAAGCATCTAGTGAGAATGCAAAAAAATTCTCTCTTTCTCTCTCTCTCTCTCTCTCTCTCTCTCTCACTCACTCTCTCTCTCACATTCCACAATTCCTTTCCGGCTTTGCGTGCGAGAAGAGATACTTTCTTCGATTAACGTGGACGGAGAGGTGTGTGAAGAGCTCGCACGCGAGTCGTCGAGGACGCGGCTTTACTCCCCTGCTGACGCAAACGCAATGAATATTTGAGTACACACGCGCGTGCAGGAACGCCGGTATCGGTATCGCCGATATTCGCTTCCGCGACTCCGTTGGAAATTTAACGAACGCGACGTATCCATATCAGAGCCGCTTCGTTTCATTTCACATTCGTCACATCTCGTTTACTTCAAGTGATTCCGATCTTTAATTATCTGGAACGCAGGATTACGGCACGCGCGTTGGAATTCTCGAGGTGTTGTATCTCCGAGCACCGAGTGTATGTATTTTTTCAAGGTGGTCGCCTGGTGGTTTTTAGAGCGCGAATAATATTCGGCAGATATGTAAGAAACATCGAGAAGTTGATGCTTCTCTCTATTAAATGTTAATTAGTCGACGGGATTAGTCAGCTCATTGCGTAAAATGAAAGTTCTGTATACATTTGGATGACTAATCACGTCCGCTTAGTTAACGAGGTAGCTAATGTTCGTTGTTAATATCGCGGATATTTGCGGTTTCTTCTTCTTCCTCTTCGTCGTCGTTATCGTAAAATGTGCCTGCATTCTTCAAACGACATGCGACGCACAATGAAGATTTGAAAACACATGACTCCGCGAAAGATCCGTCCATGGTGACATATGCAATCATGCGATTTAATTAAATACTGGTGGGGAGAGATCGGTCGGCGAACGTGGTGATTAAGCGGAATCAGTCATTACAGCAATCGAGTTGGCTTATTTATTGTTATGCATGCGAAATTGCATTTATTCGATTGGATAATCGGCATATTTGCCTTTTCGTATTCATCGTAAATACGTCGCAAAAAAATTCCGTATTCTAATTAGAAAAACTAGTTTTACTAAAATGTTTAAAAATTTTGCCAGATATAAATACTGAAAATAATTTTGCTGGCCTATCAAAATTATGTAGGACGTCCAAATTGAATTATTAAAATATCAAAAATTTTATATTTATTATACTTAAGGCTTTTGGTATAAATCTATTCTATTGACTGCAAATGTTTTTATTGAAAAATATTTCTATAGTTAAATATATTTTTCAAGAATTTTGTTTCCTTGCTTGACATCACAATCTGATAATAGTGAGGAGTGAAGTTTTAAGAGCCATATATATTGAATAAATTTTCAAAACTTTGCAATCTTGCTTTTTAGTTTTCCTTCAACATTAGTCTTTCTTTTTTGTATTTTAAAAAATTTGACGGAGAGATTTTTTATTTGGAAAATTTATTTTATCGGTAGCTCTGTACAGCGACCTTAAAACTAAGTAAAACGACAAAATTATCTTTTTTTCTCTCTCATTTCGATATCTTATCGAGTCCAGGGCCGCAAGTGTAATTGTGTTGCGACGTGTTTCTATTCAGACGAGCGGGCCGCGTCGTGTCAAATTAACGTCGCGCCAGAAACCCTTTAAGTGTATTTTAAATCACGTTGAAATAAGGACAGATGTTTAAAAGGCTGCAACGAAAGAATTTTCACGCGACTGGACTTTTGGTGCTTTATATATCGTAGCTATAATTTCATCATGCAATAATAACATAATAACGATAACATAAGCGATCAACTAAATTGTCAGTAAGTTAAATGTCACGATAATATTATCGCCAGAAGGATTCTCCTCGGTTAAATGATCCATTTAATCACGAATTAGAAGTAAAAAAAGCACAATCGCGGCTGACAACAAAACGCCGAATCAATAACTCAACACGTTTCTGTTCTCTTTTAATTGAAATCGTTATCTAAATTAAATTGCATTCCTCTTCTCATATCGATCTGCTTTGCAACTTAATTTAAGACAGAAAACCAAATAAGTGATTTCAACAGAACGAGGTGTTAACTCTTTTGTTATCAAAGTGGATCATCAAATTATCCTATATGAAAAGAGTACATTTGCTGAAGTATCTAAAAACTTAAACAAATATTGATCTGAACATAATTTTGTTAAGTCATCAAAATAATTATGTAAAACGTTCAAATTGATCACTATCAAAAACTTTTCTAATATTGCATCATGCTTAAACGTTCTACTCAATAATTTTAATGACTCATAAAAATTATTTTCAGATTTATATCTGATCAAATTTCTAGATTCAACAAAACCGTTCTTTCCGTGTGAGATTAATAGATTTTAAAATACTTTTATCGTGTCTGATCATCATGAGCGTGATGATCAACATTTTCGCATTCGTTATCGCGTTTATCAAATAATCCTACGGCAGCAAGTATAAAGAAGAGCCTTGAAGAGATTAATGCCACAGCAACGATTGCTCTTATCAGTTTGGCTCTCTGCCTTTTTCTCGCCGTCAAGCAATTTCGACTCACTTGAGACGTAATAATCGTACTCCGGAATAGGAGTCCGTCACAGATCCTACTTCTCGTCGTATGTCACGTGTATTTAATTCAGAACCAGCTTTCCGATATATATGTGCGTGCATGCTATATATGCGTGCGTACTTGTGTAAATGCAAACACGATCAGGTACCAGTCAGCCGGCTGATAAGAGCCTCTTGCTTCAGTGACGAGCACGTCGTTGCGACGCGAAATTCGTGCGTTCGCTCGACGTCTTTCTCGTCGTTCTTTCTCGAGAAATCCGGAGTCCGAAATCCGCGCAATTGTAACGGTTTCCGTGACGCAATCACGTGAAAACGGTCTCATCTGCTCGACAATAGGAGCACGACGCTCGGGGCAAAGCCTTCCTTCTCTTTCGCGCCTCTCATTGCGAAATTTGTCTCGCAACCTCGAGGTTGCACCCGGCTTCAGTCCCTATTTCGAACCGGTCCCTCTCCCGTTTTCACGAAGATGTGACGTAAGTCTGATTGTGTAGTTAATTTATCGGTGTATCGCATATTTATAATCGCCGTCTCACTGCGATAAAGATCGTTAATTAAACTTTAATCGAGAATTTTAAATCTGACTCTTCAGATAGACAACTATCACATGATACTATCAAAAATGATACTATCAAGTGATAGCATTCTATTAGATATTTATAGCATAATTTGGATTCATCGAAATTAATTGATAAGAAGTCTTGATCGTCTGAATGCAAAAATCGTCAATGAGATGGAAAGATGAAAGATGTTAAAATTTTTTCGAATATTGATTCTAAAATTATATTAATCATGCAATCTTTACGATCCACCAGCGCGTTTTTATTCTTATTGTGTGCACCTTGACATATTATTAAGTATCACTTGTAATCTTGTTTTTATATACTGACAATTTATATTTCTTCAAAGATTTTTCTGAAAAACCATGAAAAAGCAATAGTTAACTTAGCTTGTTATATGCTACATTCTTCATCGATATTTTCATTGATTAGCTTTGAATTATTCTCTCGTAGCACGGTATAATTTTCATTCTCATTACCTCTATCTTATCTAAAACTTTGTGCCGACGGTGATCGCAGTACACAAACTTCAGCTGCGATATCGTTCAATTACCACATGAATATTCGCAACACAAGACGTCACTTATCCGCGGAAATATAATCAATTTCAGAGGCGGCAATTGATCAAGGAATGTAGATACGAGACATTTACTTGACTAAAAGTGCATCGCCCGGACGACTGCGAGTCCCGAAAGCGCGGCGAGGAAGCGCTGGATATGTCCGCGGACGAAGACACAGACTGAAGCGAAGGTTTTCGAAGTGCCGCTTAATTTTCGTGCAGTCACGCCGTGCAGGCTCGCATATTAAGAAATCGTATAATTTTCTCCGCAAGCGGGCCGGCGGTCGAGCCAGTCATTCGTCGATAATCGTGAGCGGAAATGATCGTGCGTGATCGCGGAACGACTCTCCGAGCTCGCGGCGATCGTACGGTGTCCGTTGGAGAACGCCGGGTGTGAAGTACATAAAATCAGGAGGGTGGCTCCCGAGGTAGTCCCGCCGAAGGTATCTTGAAAGATAGGCGGCGTGGTTCTGCTTGAGATGAACTCGGTGGCGGTGACAGTGCCGCTTCGTCAGCCGACGAAGAAGATGAAGAAGCGGAAGGAGCTGGACGCCCTGGCACCGGCGCACGCTATCTCGCGCCGGAGTTCCGGGAAACGCAGCTCGCAGGTGATTAAGATAATTAATTTTCAAAGTTTCGCTTTCTTTCCCGATAGCAACGTTGTGGCGCCGGCGAAGTTTTTTAAATCTACAGTGAAAAATAAATAAATGATGGATGAAGGCTTGTATACGAGTAACACGTAGATAATAAAAGACACATTTGGCGTAAAGAATCTTAGTGACAAATTGCGATGACAAATTATTATTATTTCGAGTCAATTTGTATAAATGTTGTATTGTTCTGAAATTTAGATAAAAGACTGAATTATAAATGTGGATACTTTCAGACTAGTCGATTAGGAATATTCCAATGTGAAAAAGAAAAACAAAGTTATGTCAAGTATCGTAAGAGGGAAGATAAGAAATGATATGAGTTATAAGAAGAAATTATGATTATGATGTGAATAAATAAAATTGCATCGTTATTTTTTAATGCTAATTAATTAAAGTGATGCATTTGTTTCTCTTATATTTTTGTAGGAATTGCTGACAGACAGCAGCGACGATCGTTCGGAATACTGGAACGTCTCCACCAGAAACGGTCGCAAGTGCAGGGGCAGGAGAAGTCGTGCTTGTCCCGGATTCCTTAAGGCTTGCAATGCCTTTTTGGCGTGCGCCTCCGTATTGGCGACCGCCAGCCTGATATGGCTGTTCATCGACGTTCGTCAACAGCTTACGGCTTTGCGAACCGAGTTAGACCAAGGTACTGGTCTAACGTTTGCATAGACCGGCGACACATCCGGCATTAAATTAATTAAGCCAAGCAGTAGCTAAAAAACGAAGCTATGTATCCAACTCGACAATGCAAACAAATAAACGCAAACTCAAACATTGTTATTTAATATGCGATTCAATTTTAGCTTTAAATGTTTAACGTACGAAAAGTCCGAGTTCTATAAATGATTTTAATTAGAACCTTTCAGAATTAAAAATGTTCTTTATAATAATTGTATGATTCTCTGTTTTTTTTCTCGTACTTAATTTCTTGTGCATTACAGTGATAGCGGGTAGCGAGGGTGTCCCGGACGCTCTGCAGAAATGCCACTCCTTGTCGAGAGATCTTCAGAATAATCAGACAATTATCTTCTCCAGACTGTCTGATCTCAAGCAGCAAATAAATAATTTTACGGTACAGGTAAAACCGCACAAGTAATATCGATAATTCAATTGTGACACCGATCATAATGACTCACGTCCTTCCGGATCGATATTTTTACAGCTAGCGCATATTCAGCAAGACTTGCATAAAGTGCAGGAATACTTCCAAGCCGCACCCGAGATGGCCAATTTGCCGAAACGCTTGAACGAGTTGTCAACTAGTGTTGCAACATTTGGCAGTCAAATAAGGGATCTCGGGGCCACGGTGAATACCCTGAAAGAAACGAATATGAGGGTACAGAATGCACAGGTCACTATGCAACAGAACATCAGCAGTATTAAGGTAAAGATCGGTAGAACGGAAAAGAAAATTGCGATGATTAATTTGCTCAATGTCTATCGAATGTTGCATTTTCTTTTTAGCACTCAATGTTAGAATTGTCGAATATTACTCAAAAGCCTCAAATATTAAGCATCGACGAAACGCAAGTTAAGACTGACAAACTAAACCTTACAATATCACATTTAACGCATAATTTAACGCATGTTAATGAGACGTTGTCGAGCAAATTGCAATGGGTCGCCGACGACCAAGACAAGGATCGCGTAAGTATGATGTGAATTTTATAATAAATATATTGGATCAATCATGTAATATCAACCATGTTTACGCCTCGTATCTTATCACCACAGAAAAAATTAGTTTCGCTTCAAGAAGCAACGGCGGCGATCAACACGACAATGATGTCCTTGCAAGGGGAGTGCGTTAAAATGTCTGAGCAAGCTTCTATTCTAGCATCGATTCAGCAATTAAAAGATAAGGTATGTTGAAAGATCGCAGACTATTGAATGTAGTGACTATTGAATGTGATTATTGAATTGCGTTTCGATGTAGTCTCGTCAATATTTATTACTTAATACAGATGAACGAGATACGCGCAACAGATGTAGACTTAATCAACAAATTCAAGCAATTGGAACAATCGTATGTCGGACTGAAAAATTCTACTAGCATAATGTTCGCGACTGTGTCCGAGATGCAAAATCAGCAGCAAGTCAACAAGATCAAGCTATCGGAGTCGTTAAACAGCGATATGACAACGGAGACATATCGCGGTATGACAGGTGCGGTGAAGCTATCTTTCGCAAAGTTTTTTCAGTTGCAGATTCGTAAACATGTGCCATGATTTTCGTTCTTGTATCGTTTACAGATGACGTTGCTCAGAGAAGGAGTTTGAATGATAGAATGTAAATGTGGCGAAAGCAAAAGTGAAGGACCCTGAAAGAAACTTGCGCTCGAAAAGCGACTTTCACAATAGATGAAAGTCACGTCGTACGCAGTCTGAGAAGCTATGTATTGTAAATATTAAATAAATTAAGAGAATACGTTACACATGTACATAGGAAGATACTATTTATGATACCACACGCATTCTCTGATGGAATAGCCCATCGGGATTGCGTGAGTAACGTGTGATGTTACGTTGACAAGAGACTATCGTGAGCGTGCCGTGGCCTGAAAGAAGCCACTTACGCTGAGCAATAATTTAAAGCGTTTGGAACATTTATTGTTAGCGAGACGAATGTATTCTGTATTCGATCTAGATTAGATACGTCAATTCCTAATAACACCGAACACTACATAGCGAGAAAGGTATTTCAGAAATACTATGGAAAGTACAAAGTCGACAGCCGTCTCGAAACACGTTCTCGGTTGTACAACGTCTAGAAAAAAACATTTATATTTAAGTAGCGGCAGCGAAAGTTTTCTACTCTTCTACATTTTGTAGCATAATACGCTATTGTACATTTTTCCGAGTTTTCTGACATGAAACAATAGAGTTTCCCAGATAGCGAAAAAAAAATCATGTATAGATACCGTGATTCAGCATGTGTATGTAAATACAAAAATTATTTAACAAACAGTGTGATAAAAGGATAGAGAAGTAACGATTGCACATTTTCATTGCAAAGTTAATTAAATTTTATTTTCAGGATTCAAGACAAATCAAGACATTGGTGGTATATGTTTCCCTTTTTTAATTTAGCGTGCACACATACATACACCGTACAGTTGAATGTACAATTAAATGTGATGGTTAAAATGTTAGTCTTTCTGCAGCAAATAACTTTTACTTGCATCGCAGATAGTATTGTAGTAGGCTTGATCAAATCTTTTTAATAAAGAATGAGCATTATTTTTGTATGTATTGAGAACGATGTTTGCGAAAAGAATAAAACGAAGAATAATAACGAGCTTCCCGAAAGCTTGCAGCATCTCGGCTCTTTGGTACATGAATGGTTTTCATCGAACTCTTGTTCTTGAACTGTAGACAGCGAATGTATACGAGAACTAGAATAGTATTCGCATGTAATTATTTCGCATACAATCATACATCATGAGGAACAATCTAGGCGAGTAGTAGCTTGATCTCTCACGACAGCGTGCGAGAAATCCCCAAATGAAGACCAATTAATTTTTTGAAATACAATTTTGGCTATGTGCATTCGTTTGTGAATTTAGGAGGATAATTACGTGCGAGTACGCGATAAATCAGCTACAACAATATCGAAATGAATTAATAAAAAAGAAAAGAGAAGGAATATATATAATAAATATAGCGAAGTTGATGTCATTTTCCGTATCCTCGACATTATTGAATCTGCAAATCTGATAAAGCAACAATCAGCTCGAGAAGCTATGAAATTTACAAATTTACAAATTTATCTCTCAAAATTACATTTCATACTTTTAATTTTTAATTTACCAAGCAATTGATTTGAAAAGTAAATCGAGTAGATCTCGATATTAGTATCTTTCTTTTGTTTAAGAGAATACGAATGCCCCTTCATCCTCATTTCTATTTTTCCAAGGAGCGCAATTTCCCCGACGTCCCCGCGGCTCCCAAGCTCGACGTACCCCGCTCGTGTGCCATCGAGCCTCGCGCGATTGGTCGGCCCTCGTAATTCTGTACGGTGCATCTGTGCATCTGGTGCAACAGATGCGTCGCGTCCCTATAGTTCAAGCCTGGTCTCGCGCGCGGACGTCTCGGACGCGATTGCATTCTTCGGAGCCGCGGCTGAGCGGAATCGCCGTGTGCTGGCTCGCGTAATTCGCGAAAATTCGACAGCGTCGACGAGTAAGTATCCACGTTCCACTGACGCGTCAATGCGCATTTCGTTGCAATTCTGTCCAGTGCCCGACTTCCTTCTCGTTCAATTTGTACTTTTCATAAGTGATTTACGGATAAAGAGCTTTATGGAATTTAATTTCAATTTTACATTCAGTTTAATGTGTAAACGTGTAAAGACGGAGGATTGTTATTGTATTGCGCGTAACTTTCGTAAACTCGGAAAATCAAATACTCACGCGGGCGTCCGACAGTTGCTTTGTTCCGACCGAACTACGCATTACTATTGTCCGGAAAGTCAAGCTCGAAGATCGCGTCGTTTAGCGATAAAGGAGGATGAAGCATTGCAGGATTGCATGTTTATCAAATTAAAATGTTGACAGAATTTGCGAGTGGTTTTTTTTTTTTCATTTGGTCGTACGCGCCAACGTTCTTATCGCGACGAACAATTGCTACTTTTCGAAATGAGTCACGATGAGCCGTTTACATGCTCCGTTATCAGTTGCGCGTCTCACTTTTACGATTAAGCGCGGAATGAATTGACAAGACGAATCAGGCAAACACAATTATTATCGCTGAGAGAGTACGGTGCGTTTCGATCGATATAAATAAAGCGACGCGTTCATTCGATCGCTGACCCTGTGAATTGCACGCGGCGATGCTTTTGATGATACTCCAGAGAAATCGATCCTATCTCTTTTTACGTACGATTGAGATTCCATTCATTAATTCGAGTAATCGCTATTCGATTAAATTTTTTAGCGCGTCTTACATATTTCGCGTGCGCGATTATTATTTTTTAAATTATTTTTATTTCCTGTCGCTCTTCTTCATTTGGCAAAGGGGAAGCTTGTTGCCATTCATATTCACTTCGTCTACAAGTTGTTATTATTATTGACGTGTGTATATATTTTTGAAAATAATCCTTTCAGCTTTCCAGCTGAAAAAAGTAAATTGCCGATTTTACAAAAACCAAGAATATAAATATGTATATGTTTTTAATTTTATATTTTATATTTTTTATTTTATGTAAAACAAAGTAAATACCTACATATATTTATTTTTACATTTCGAACGCGCTCAAGTTTACTTAGACGGAGTCGAGAATACGCGACACTCGAGAAGCTTCTCTCTCTCTCTCTC